TTTCAATCACAATGTTTACATTTTGTTTCTTAAATAATTTCAACGATCTAATACTATCTTTTTTGACCGAGTCTAATTTATTAGTCTGATTAAAATTTTCTTTACCGATTATGACTCTTTATTATTTCAATCACAATGTTTACATTTTGCTTCCTAAAGAATTTCGGCTATCTAACACTATCTTTTTTGACCGAGTCTAATTTATTTGACCGATTAAAATTATCTTTCACAATTATGACTTTTTACTATTTCAATCACAATGTTTACATTTTGTTTTAAAATAATTTTATCCATATAACATTATCTATTTTGACCGAGTCTAATTTATTAGTCTGATTAAAGTTTTCTTTTCCTCTTATGACTCTTTACTATTTCATTCACAATGTTTACATTTTGTTTCTTAAAGAATTTCCACTATCTAACACTATCTTTTTTGACCGAGTCTAATTCATTAGTGTGATTAAAATTATCTCTCACAATTATCACTCTTTACTACTTCAATCACAGTGTTTACATTTTCTTTCTAAAAAAAATTAAACTATATAACATTATCTTTTTTGACCGAGTCTAATTTATTAGTCTGATTAAAATTATCTTTCACAATTATTACTCTTTACTGTTTCGATCACAGTGTTTGCATTTATTTTCTTAAAGAATTTCAACGATCTTCATTCACATCGAGTTTTACAACTGTTGAAGAATGGCTGAAGAGTTTAGACCTTGTTATCTATTCCAAGAACCTCATGGACAACGGTTTCGACGACATAGACTTTCTGGTAATAAAAATATCCGTTATAATCCTAAATATATTACGACTTCCAATCACATTTTTTTTAAAAAAATGCCGAAATATTTCTGATTGTCTTTATTTAGGGTGGTAATATCTTAGAAGAAGATGACCTCATAGAAATGAATATAACGAACAAAGAACATAGGCAAAAGATCTTGGAATCATGTCACAGTCTTCCGGCACTCAAGCCTATCAGTGAGAGTCAAGCACCTGAATCTGTTGGAGAATGGTTAAGGTCATTACATCTTGACCAGTACATTGATACTTTTAGAAGGAACGGGTATTCTGATATGGAAAGAGCAAAAAAGCTATGGGAAGTGGAGCTTAGTTCCGTAAGTGTAGCACTCAATTATTTGACATGATCCTGTTTTATTGAATCCATTTTGCAATTTCTCCTTTTTCCTCGTAACTTATTTGTACTTATCTTCCTTCTGTATCTTTGTGTTTCTCTTTTCATGTTTTTTTTTAATGTTGTTTAATTTTATTCATATACAGCACAAACTTAATTCTTCAATCATAGGACAATCGTAATTGATTGCTTCTGTTTTTTATTTGTACTGTTGCTGTTATTTTGTGTT